CAGAACGGTTCGCTAGATGGATCAACGCCACCCAGAGGAGGACTGGTTGGTCGTAAAATTGGTCCGTGATACGTTAGATGAACCAAACTACGGGTGTGCTCCGTGGCTGTGTTTCTGACTGTCAGAATACGTTCCACAAAACTGTTCGTGGTGGAACTGCTCGAGTCCAACACACGATTCGCTTGATCAGAACACTTCAGCGCCTGGAGTCGTAATTCCAACGTCGGTTGACTTCCCGGAACGGAAAACCTGGAGCCGATCTTATTTACCGGCAAATGAGGTGGAATGGCAAGACTACTGGAAGGATCTCCGTATCCGCCTTCACCTGCATTGGGCCAATCGCTTAGACCAGACAATGCCGGACTAGATGGTCGCGAAGTCCGTCCGGCAGGGGGTAAGTAGACCACAACTTCACAGCCCTGAGTGAGGATCATTTGCCAAAAGTCGGATACCGTTTTCGTCATTGGAGCTTGGGCCACAATATAACGAGGACACCAATCACCGAAACAGTTCAGAAATTCAATATGGCTAGCATTAATGTAATCGTTTTTCGTACTTTCAAGCACCACCCGATTCGAGTCGTAGGGCACACAATCTTGACGTCGATTTTTTGATGGACAGCACATTGCCGCGGCCTGTGTGGGCTTCTTTTGCCCGGAACCAGATGTAGCTGCGGTTTGCACACGAGACCAGGCTTTTTCCAAACGTGTTGTTGTGGTTCCCGGTTTCGAATCAGACGGGACTGGATCGTGAAGATGTTCGAGCCATGTGAGCAAGTTTTCTGTGGCCGCGATAAACGGATTGAGCACGAGGGGATCAGATAGAGGATCTATGGATGGCACAGTGGAGCCCGAGGCGTTTCTTTCAGGTTTCTGATAACAACTGGGATCGACCTCTTTGGAGAGATCACTAGAACCTCCATGTTGATGAGGTGCGGCGGTACTTCCGCTTTCGCTCGTCCGTTTAAATTCTGGATAAGATGTGGAAGTATACTCACTGCATGAATTCGGAGTCCGCGGAACCGGTGCATTTCCATAGGTTGCACGTAGCCGTTCCTCGCGTTTCTGTGCATCCAAATCAGCCTAGAATGTTAGAAGAATGAAGGACAGTATGTGAAGAGTAACAGTGAAACCCCACAACTAAGTCAGCGTCAATACTATGCACTGCTTAAATGGTTCACCAGTCCACTAGTTTAGGTTGTCAGATCCCACGGGTAAGCAGTTGATGAGATGATGATAACTATAGGATACGCCATTTCTAATGTTCTCTACATCAATGTGCACCACAAATATGCATATATCTGATAGGTCGATCGAGCAAGGTATGTTTTGGTCCAGTGTATTTGCACTAGCGGGGCGCCGTCATTGATAGGCATTCCAGAACGGATAAGAGATGCTCAAATCGCATTTTTTGTTTGTTGCAAACATCACCCAAATGACGTGATCTCATACTTCTATGAAACCCGCAGTCTTGACAGTGTCGTTTCAATTGTGATTCTTATAGCCCTTTCGTAAATACGTACTATGTGAACAAAGAGTCTTAAATCCAGTAACCTAAGCACTACTGATAGTTACTGTATGTCATCACAAAATCCGTATTTTCCTTGAGTTAACAAGCAACTGCATTTGAACAATCTTAGACTTGGTCCTAGTGACTATGGGGCTTTCCCGACTGTTATTCATTAGACCGAAATGTGTAATACAAAAGCTTACTGCATTCCGGCCACATTTATCACATTCCGTTCTATGTAAATGAAATCGGATTTTTACCAGAACCCCATTTTCTAATGACTAGTAATGAAGGTGGAACGTTCAAGTTAGTTGATGTGGTAAAACCGTCAACAAATTTCAAGGGCGCCAACACGGAGCGACTGTCATGCCTCATACAACGAGGCCTGTTGAACGAAATCGGTCGACCGTGTTCTACAATGTTCAACTACGGAACTGATGAGATAACGCTTCAATCCGTCATCACACCCGGAGTGAAAATGTCGCTGAGGTAAACCATGGGTCACAACTTTCAAACTGGATGTTGAAGGGTTACGTATCTGATTGGCCTATGGATTGTGCTGTGATAATTTATGGGTAGCCGGGGCATCTTCGATATTTTCTTGCAACCGACTCATATACCAGGAGCTGGTCACATTAAGCTCCAAATAAAAAGAGCTTTAGTTACGGAGTGGCACAGAGTTGGCAAGACGAAATTCCCGTGTCTGGAAGAGCATATAAAATAGAGGAGCGATAACCAATACGATTTGTGGACGTGGCATGATAAACAAATGTTCTCATCTTCACACTCCAGTAATTTCGCTCAACAATGGCCGGTTAGGTTGCATGAGATTACAATTAAACTGCTTCCAAGAAACGGCATTACAAAAATCGAGGAGACTGGAGAACTGTAGAGAGAAGAAACAGCACACTACGCACTTTTTTCTGATCGAATAAGCGGCATATGCAAGTAGAGGCAGTACAAAACAGAAAAAAAGAACACTTCACACTGCAAACCGAATCAAACTGTCAAATACACAGAACTACAATTATCCAGAGAAGAAACAAACGTGTGAGCCAGATGGTGACGTCCAATGGGCGAAAAAAGTTAAGAGTATCAGCTAACCTTGGTAAGCACTTGCGGTTGCAAAGGTGCAGAATCCGGGGGACAAACGGCTCCCACAACGGCATTATTCCCGGTGTCGGGTCTCAACAAATTTGACTGAACAGCGCTGACTGCTATTGGTGGTGGTGGTGGCGGCGGCGGCTGCTGCTGCTGCGGGGCAGGAGTAGTTCCAACATTAGGCACGCCGGGCGATGAATAGTAAATGTGCGGTTGATGAGATTGGGATGTCGGCAAACGAGGGTGCTGGTAATATTGCGGCTGTTGTTGTTGTTGTTGTGGCGGTGATAATGGCCTCGACGACGANACCTTGGTAGGATAGAACGGTTGCACTCCTGAAGTCGGCGGGCCTGGATATCGCCCCGATTGGAAACTTCCTGGCTGTGTTGAAAGCATTGGAGGCTGAGCTGGTACTGGTTGTACTCCTCGAGGCAAAGAGCCTCGAGCACCACCAGGGATTGGTCCTAACACAGTCTGTTGCAGCCCTGGAGTTGGGTTGGGCGTTGAAGACCCATGTGGGAGTGCGCCACTTGCGAGAACGCTCTGGGATGAGAAAGGCACCGGACGCATTTGCGATCCGTCCACTGGTCCTAACATCCGAGGTTGACTTGGTTGAAAGGCACCGGGAGGAAATGAAACAGAAGGCGGTCTATCTGATGGCACTACGAGCATTGGTGGACGAGTGGGAGTAGAAAATTCGCCAGTCGCCGGTCGATATCCGACAGCTTGGGGCTGTCCCGGTGGTACACCCGGTAACGCCTGTCCATAAAATGATTGTGACGGTGGCTGAGAAACAGCAGATCGTATTGTCCTTGGTTGAGACTGGCCTGGAACTGGATAACCAAGCGACGCGTGAGGTTGCGCCGGCCAACCTTGAAAAGAAGTTTGATCTGGATGGTATTGCAAAGGNTATCGGTCCCCCTGTATTTGGATAGTTCGAATAGGGCATTTGCGGGTTTTGAAGAGGGGCTCTAGGGAGATCCTGTTGAAGCACAATGGAGGAAAACAGTCAACATTACAAATCGATGATACCTATTGCCAGGATGGAAGTTCACTTTCAAACGAGATGATATTGTTTGGTATTTAGGACTTCTCTAAGCGCTGAGTCTATGTGCATTTCAGTCAAAATTGTGCACAGCAGAGAAAAATGTCCAGAAACTTTAAAGAAAGTTTGTAAAACCCTGTTAGGATAGTAGTGACGCAGTGGTTTAGCAACTGTCACCAGCGCGCTTTGGATGTTACAGTCCGAGGTTCGAGCCCGGTCGGCGCCCTCCAACTTCGGTGATAGGCAGCTTTGATGTCGTCCGGTTCAATACCACGCCTAACCTAGTGGGGCCTTATGTGGTTCGCCGCCCCAAATCCCGAGGGTTTAGCTGACCGGTTTCCATCACTGAACAGCAGGTCTTCGTGACAATGGGGTTTCACCCCGTCTGCCATTCGTCACACTAAAATGTGTGAAGTCAAAACAATTTGCTAACCAAAATACGTGCTAAACGGGGTACCTTAGAGAGTTGCAAATTGTTTACGTGAGGGAACATAACAGATGGAAATGACAGGAATTTAAATTATTTAGTGGATAAATGGGATCCCAAAGAATCTTGCAAGCAAGCATTCAAATAACGTTCAAACAGATTGATTACCATGTGATGAGTTTATAATCAGTCAAGACTTATACTGGCGTCCCCATCCAATAAGGTGCTGTCTCGTCCACGTTCCGCTTGTCTCATTAGGTGCATTAGACTAAGCGTCGATCCCGAAAAACGGACCGAAAATCAATGCGCCAGCAAACAACACACTGAACCGAAACCCGAAGGCCTTGCATGACAGGCTTCTAGAACTCACACAGGTGCTCCGTTCACTCTCCCGCTTGGATTTACGCCCCACTGCCATGTGGATTAGACTTTTGAGTCGAAGGCTCCGGTTAGGGTTCCCAAAGAAAAACCTGTTCATTGGTGTGGGCAACCGCGAAGTATGCAGTGCCTCAAAAGTCTTCGGGTACCCAGTTGGAAAACCATCTCTGGCGTCCAATGACGCTGACCATTTCGAATGTGTCGATCGATTTCATTTAGCAACGGCAACAACAAGCAAAAGAGTCAAGTTCGAAAGCACCGAAATGATCTTTTGACCTTAACAGGTGCGCAAATGACATTGTTGTTGTTTGTAAATCGAATACTGTTTAACCCTAAACGAAACGAATTTCGAGAAAAAAAGATTACCCTAGGAAAAGTTACGAAAAATGGTGATTTAGGAGTTGACCTGGAAAAATTAGGCCAACTGATAAAAAACGAAAACGTAGTTCTCAGAGATGACGCTTCTCAAAGATTATTTCCTAACCAGAACCACGAGGAACTACACAAGGATCAATGAGAAACACAGGCTAACAGACTGAAATCAAACAATAACAGACCCATAAATCATATGTAGCAATGTAATTGACGAAACCAACCAGATGACCGACGCACCGGACGATTTTGCGGAGTGTCTGTTGGTCGGGAAATGGGTATTGGATAGGCAGAAGGAGCCGCTGGACCGTGTGATACGGTCTGATTAATTGGGTGCATAGGTACGGTGGCCGCTCCCGAGGCAATGGACTGAGCCGGAGGCTGATGAGGCAACTGAGGAGGGAAATGAGGAGCTCCAGGAGTCTGTCACGGCAGATAACACACGAAATGGTTGATCCAGAGAAAAGAATGCGGATTTTTGCAGTGTAGAATGGGAATAGGAAGGGAAACAAACGGTAAATATAACAGAGTAGAAGTCCTTCAGTGAACGAAACTATCGGTATTCCATCCCAGTATTTATGAACGTGATATGGACCGAATCAATTGATGCGTGTACCGAAACAGATAGCCTAATTGATGACCATTCACCACGATAAATCTACTCCAGTAACATATCGATTTCTCCTTACGCAGATGCCGTTTTCTCCACTCTGTCGTGTTGTACTTCACCTGAGTGCGGTCGATGTCGCCGGGGTTATTTTACAGTTCGGTGCGCAAAATCGGAACAGGAGACAGGTGAACACACTTCGGAGAGAAAACTCGCGAACAGAAAGCAGGATAACGACCAGCGATTGAATCAACCAAATCACCATTCTGCATCAAGTCCTCGACAAACAATTGCAGTGTTCCTTGACCTAAAAGGAGCTTTCGATTCAGTTGACCGTGAATCTATAATGGGTTGATTTCTTCTCGAAGGAATGTCGCAGAAGCATGTGAACCTATCGCAATCATGTCCCGGTACATTTCTGGTAGCGCAAGGGTCTATGGTGGACTAAGTCAACCATTCGAAACTAGTAACGGTGTTCGTCAATGATGCCCATTTTCGCCACCCCTATTCAATTTTGTCGTACACAAAATATGGCATAACGCTCTAATTGGTCCCCGAATTATAGAGTACTGAAAGGGGAACTGGAGAAGAGTTGTGCGCTTTAGAGGACGCTGACAACATCGTTTGTCTGTTCGAATGTATGGAGGATGCGCAAAACGCTCTTGACATACTAGCAAGTACAGTTTGGAATGTATTTTGCACATTCAATGTAAAAGAGATGCCACAATATTCGGTGTCGTCAAACTCGGTACCAATGCTTGATGGCCAACAATTCGTCAAGATTTGCGCGTGGAATATATTCATTGTTTAGAAGTCTTCAGTGCTGGTGTTTAAGTAGTTCGGTGCGGATCAGATGCAATGAGCGTGCAGACAGCTTTGAAGTATTTCGCAGTAATTCGGTGGAAAATTCGTTATCGGATCGGAGGCTTCGCCGGTTAGCACACGTATTGCTCACACCCAGCTGACGGCTTAATTCCCGTGACTTATTTACAGTGGTCACTACAGATTTAAGGACACCACGTGGAGGTCAACAGATGACATGGAACGAGGCAAAAGAAAGGCACAGAGCGAATAGGTAGGGTAAGTGCCTCTCATCTTCCGGGTTTGGGTCCCAGAGACTCCGTAACTGGTTGGTTAGAGACAATGAAAGTTATGATAACTAAATGACACCGGTGGTGTTCTTTTTGTCATTTCTTATCAGGTCATAATGCGAGAAAGTGTGTTAGGTTGGGCACCCAGTGTGTTGACTATAGAGGTCCAATTTCTCTACTCCCCCCCCCGACCCTCCAATCAGGCCCAAAACCCATCGATCTTGTACTTCCTCACGCACTCTATGTACATTGAAAGCCTCGCAGCGTTCAGCGATCACTTCTCTGTATATCGCTGCACGATGACGATCACGTTGTTGTTCGTACTGGCACGGGTGCTCAAAAGTCAAATGGCACAGTAACCAAAAATTGTGAATAGGATTCGATCAGGGAATTCGATGAGGATGTAAACATTACGAGTGATATCGATTAGATCAAATTGTTCGTGGTACAGAAGATTCATAGTAGTGATTGAGAACTGGTAATGTATGTGATAAATGGAATGCAAAACATGAAAGCCTGAGATTTTCACGAGATCGAAAATTTACAGTGACTCGAATAATGGAGTGTGTGACCACTTGTATTGAACAGGTGCAAAAAATGCATAGATTCGAATGTGGAGAAATCTCTGTCCGTCTGTGAATACTGTTATGTTCGGCGGTTGCGAATTCGACAGGTCACGATGTGTGGAACAAAAAGCAAGAGCATTCAGTTATATTCATATTTTTTGGTGAGGCTACTCGTAAGTAGCAAAAAGCTGATGATATGCTAATATTTGTCCTCGTACACGATGCGTAAGCCAACATTGGAGGACAGGAACTATTGATTTGGAGAAACTCACCGTATTTTGCGGACCGGCCGAAGAACCAGTGGGCTGACCTGCAGGTTGAGTTGGCACATAGTTTTGCGTTTGTTGGGGGAACGATTGATAAGAACGGATCGGTTGACCAGGCGTGGAGACAGGATGCGTTGGCAAGGATCCCGCTGAGGGAGCACCAGGAATCATGTTAGGATTAGGATAACTGGGGACAGTAGGAACCGGTGGGTTCGGCCATGGCGAAATCATCCGGGGTACCTGACCGGTCAATCCCTGCTCTGAGGCTCGCTGTTTCATTGACGCCATATATTCGCCCAGGGTAGGAACAGCACCAGGTCGGAATTGGGGCGCCATTTGAGTTGAACTTACCGGTAATTGGGCCATCGAAACTATTTGCATGGATATACAAATATTAGAAAAAGAGTTTGGAATTTACAAAAGAGGTACTATGATGTATATATTAGTTTTAAAACTAATTCACATCGTGAAAATCATAATGGAGAATTTTAAAGTGCCGTTCAAAACTGTGACCGAGTGAGACTGGGAAGACGATTTGTTCTACAACTCCCAGTTGCCGCATAGAATCCATGAAGCCGACAACTAGTTAAGGTGGCACTTGCACGATACGCCTCTCCGAAAGCCTCAGAATGGTCGGAGGGGTGGGTATCTCAGATTGTGATTGTTTACTTTTCCCTTACACCTCACAAAACGCTCCAATATGAACAAGCATCTCAATCAGCCTCTATTGCGGAAGCACTACTCACTGCCTTCCCGTGGCGGAGGTATTTTCGCACCAAAATGAGAAGACGAAAAGCCAACATCCGGGGCTGTACCCGAATGGTAAACAAAAAGCAGTATATTCGGAAGAATTGCCTAAACAGCCTGATACCAAACCAACCAAGAACAGGCGTACGACCAAACACACACCGTTCTGGCGGTGAAAGTAGTCCCCGGTTCAAATAGGCATCAAAATTTATTGGGCATCCTGGATGTATGAAGTCACACCAACGGCAAATGATCCAATGAATTACACATCAGGACCCCATCGACTCCGAAAAATGAGCGCCATGGGTCGATTATCCAGCCTAACAACTATATTCCTCCTTCTTGCAACTAAGAGGCATATATAAAATTCTTGAATCCCAAATCCATAAAATGCCCAATTTGGCGAACACGCGAAATAGAAGTCAAGTCCAGTATTTGCTTTATGCACCCAGAATGGTGGCTATTCAGTAGTCACATATTCAACCAACAATTATCGAATAAAATTATAACAGAATTATTGTGAGCAATGGGAAAGAAAACAATTTACGAGATCACTGAGTTAGGTTCCGAAGCGAGGCGTTCTGGGCTGAAAAGAAATCGGGTAAGGTAGGGCATCACAGAAGACCGATAGACGGTCGTACGAGCAAATATACAATTATAGCGGGACCGGGTGGAAGAGGAGGATACACACTTAATAAGATCTTGATGTAATGGATGTGAAGGGTTATCTATGATTTTTGTTGATAACGAGAAGCATGACTTGTGTGTGTTGGGAAATGATGAAGTAACAGATAGTTTCACGAGAAATCCCGCTACTTCTTGATAAATGTGTTAATGATCAGGAAAGCAATTTAAAGTCCTTTTTGAGCATCCCAGGAAAGATTACTGGGGACCCGTACAACCATAGGGGTAAAACACAGGCAAAAAGAAAACGTTTAATCAAGAAGCGAGGGACGGATAGTGTCTTCAGTCGTAAGGCATAAAATGATAGTTTCCTGACTTTTCCAAATACCGAAACAACTTGGTAAGACCAGCATACGTTTCGGTGAATTAACATACCAAGATACTTGACATTTGGGGGTTGGACAATAGTATCATCGTATATGTTTAACGTGGGACAGGATTCCAGGAGATTGGCACAACGATACCCCCCTGTGTGAAGTGAGAACAGCATGTCTATACATTTAGAGGAATTGAGAGTCATGTTATGCTCAGCGGACCACTCAGCAAGGTTAGTAAGGCTAAGTTGGAGGGTCGGGGTGACAGATGCATCAGGGTGGGTGATTCCGACCACAACATCGTCCGCATATTCAATGAGCAGGGAATTTTTTAAAGTAGGCATAAATGAAATATAAGTGGAAAAGAAAAACGGAGACGGAATGGCACCCTGTAATACGCCTAACGCAGAAATTAAGGAAGAGGAGGAACGACCAAGGTAACATGTGAACTGTGATCGATTCATGAAATAATTGGTGGGTAATGCAGTAATGGTTTGCGATATTCCGTTTGAAGACAAAATATTTAACAGCCTAGAAATGTCAACACAATTGAAGGCGTTACTGTAATCCAAGAAACAAATTCTGACAGCTTTCTTATTTCCATCAAGTGCTGACAGAATATAGTGAACCAGAGAAGCTAGGATATCTTGTGTAGAGCGAGAACGACGGTACGCAAATTGGTTTTGGTCCTGCACATTCAGCTGAGATGACATTCCTTGAAGGAGTAA